TATATATATATATATATATATATAAAATCAATACAAATAATAATGTCTTTAGGTTGCTTGACATTCTCAGTAGCGTTGCTCCAAGTTCCTTTCATCAAGTGCCACAGAGACCTGGAATAGAATCAGCTTGTCAGCTTTAAAGATCGCTTGTCATTGAAATGGCTTAAACACCCAGCCAAAATGTCATTTAGGACAGCAGAGACTCAGCATGAGAAGCTCAGTCATATTTGTTTTGGTGAATATATACAATTAACAAGGTCGACTTTTGTTTGATAATATTCACTCATTAAAAACTGGATTGGTTTTAAATACTCTGGAGTTGTATATTGTCTTGTCTTTTATTTATGTTACTCAGTGCCATAAAAGGCGATTGGTCATGTATAATTGTTTGTCTCTTTGTGTGTGCATGTGTTCATTTTTCTGTCTGTTAGCAAAGTATCTGATGAATAACTGGACAGATTTTCATGAAAATCACAAAAAAGTAATCATTAGAGTCTGTGATTGTGATTATTGGTACCTCTACAACTGATTAACATTAGAGTTCATCTGATTTAGAATGTCTGCCACAGCTAGTAAGCCTTAAGAAACAAACAAACAAACAAACAAAAAGCAACTATAACAGTCTTTTTTTTTCACTGACTGTAAGCAAAGCTTTAGTGTGCTATGAGCTACATGTCTTCCATATCACATACTCCAAGCAGTTAAAGATCTTTTTTTTTGGTTGTTGTTGTTGTTTAAAACGTTGGCATGCTATGTGGTCAGCAATAGGCATTCATTTAAGGAACATTAATTTAATTTATGAAAGTTTGAGATCTGTTTTTTTTTTCATCATATGCGCTCTTTTGGGTCATCTTTTCTTGAACTATATTTTTCATAATAAATACCCGTTTTAACTCAACCATCTAATAGTTTTGTGTTCCCTCCCTTGACCCAAGCCGAGCTGATGTGTAACACTGCTCATTCATCACTACATTACCACCCATCAAATCGACAAGGCGTGTAACAAAAAATGTCTCAAGACTTCAGATGCCTTTAAGTGCTGTCTTGAATTCTATTGTGAGTTAAAATATGAAAGCCGCATCAGTGACACCCACTCTGTCATTATATGTTTCCACACGGAGCTGCTTGAGGCACAACAGTCACCTCACTGGTTTTATTTCCCTACTGAGCTGAAATTCATTATTCTCTGATCTGACAAACACTTACATCAACCTATCCCTCACAACAGCACAAACCATCAGTCTTTGATTAAACAATCCCAATTCTTTCCATTGTTAACCTGTTCCTCTGTCAGAAAGTAATTACCGCAGATCCAGTTTTTTACTGCTGCTTTCCTGGTAAAATACCTATAAAGCTCACCCTGGTATAGAGCAGCAATGTTTTCTACTTGCTTTTCTTTCACTTTTGCTCTTCTTTTATCTGTACTCTTCTAAGGGTGTTAAGTACAGTACATCTAGGGGAATTATCAAACACCCATGTGGCATTTGATACATTTGATCTAACTCATATTTCCCTTTCACCTCATTCATGCGTTCCTTAAAGAACTGTAAATCTTCCTTAGTATCCTCTCCATCCACTTCCCATAAATGTATTCCCACCTCTCAAAGGAGATAGACAGGCTTTACAATAAAGTACAACATAAAACCAGCATGGTGGGAGCATCTGTGTGTGGATTTATATTTATGTATTTGTTTGCAAAAGCCTGTGGGCAGCATGGTACTGGCTGGCTCAGTCTCAGAGCCAAGCCTATCGATGGCACTGAACCTCCACCAGGAAGTTTAACTTGGCAGATAGCTATGTTTGTTTTTCCTCTGTGTGTGTCTGTGTGTATGTGTGTGTGACCTTGTATGATTGTGAATTGATGTGAACGAATCCCCAAACTGAATCACTGATAGGAATCGAACCAGAAAGCTTTAACAGCTGTTATGTCTTGCTTTAGGGCAACAACTTCAAGTGATTGCTGAACTGAGGTGGACTTCACCTAAAAGAACAAGAAAAAGAGGAAGAAAAATATAGTGAAATCTGTCTCTTTTCAAATTTTGGTAGGTCTTAATGTATTTGGAAAAAGAATCAAGTCTTTTTGCCGTTTCTATTGTCTTTGCAACATAGCTAACTCAGTCATAAGAAATGGGGAACAATTCAGATAGTTCTTTTAAAATAGTTAACTTATGCCACAGTCTTGGTGTGGTACAAACACTTGCTGTGTTTCTCTTGATGCAAAATGTAACGGTGTCCTTAGGAGATGAACAGTCTGACTCAAAACACATTATGTAAAAGTCGTGACAGATTATAATTAAATTGCCATGGTGACAGAAGGGAGCAAGTAATACTATTTTCAACAATATCAACTTCAGCGCCAACTTTCACAGTAACAATTGAGTTGTTTCTGGTACTGAAGGTCACAGAAAAATAAATTGTTGAAAAAAATTATATTTGAATCTAAATTATTATGTTTTAATTAGAGAATGCCAGAAGTGTGTGTATATATAAATATATATATATATATATATATGTATATGTACAGTATATATATGTATATGTGTGTAGACAGGTCATATAATGGTGGTACAGTGGCGAGCTACTGCCTCTCAGCGAGAAGGTCACCAGATCAAATCCCATCCAGGGACCTTTCCAGGTAGACTTTGCATGTTATCTCCGTGCATGCGTGCGTTTTCTCCGGGTACTCCGGTTTCCTCCCACAGGCCAGAAACATGCATATTAGACTGATTTGTAATGCTAAATTGCACCTAGGTGAGAGTGAGAGAGTGATTGGTTGTTTGTCTTGTTTGTTTCTTTGTGGCCCTGTGATGGACTTGCGACCTGTCCAGGGTGTCCCCCATGTCTCACACAGTGACAGCTAGATATGGGCACCAGTGACCCCCATGACCCGAAAAGGAAGAAGAAGGTAAATATAATGGATGAAGGTCATACAAATGCAATGATTCAATTATCAAATAAAATGGATAGCAGAGTTGGCAGTAAAAGCACACTACTGGTCCCATGTCAAAAGAGCGTGGGCCTGAAAACAAACAGCCGTTTGATGTGAAATTAGGTCAAACAGCCCTTTATCCTCTCCTGCTGCAAGATGACCCACAGCTGTTACTGCTTCTCAAGATTCAGCAAATCAGCACTGCATGTCTTTTAGCAGACATATGAGCAGATTCCACACTTGTTAGAGAACAAGGGTTGTAAGCTCAATCATCCAGGTAGATAACAACAAAAAAAAAGGTGATATCATGTCATCTGGACCAGTTTTTTTTTTTTTTTACCTGAGAAATGAATTGTCCCCGATCCAGAAGACTTCCTCCAGATCTGTCACATGGGTAGCCTTCACATTGAAACACTGCTTGAAACACAGCCATGAATGCTACCCATGTGACAGATCTGGTTGGTAGGGCGTAGACTGAGGAAGTCTTCTGGATCTGGGACGATCGGAGAATGTTAACATGACTGGCACACACATGCCTTTGGGAACGTGCATTGCATTGCTGAAAGTCTGGGCTCCAGTACCTTACAATCCTTCACACCACAACGTCAAATGTAAAATTGGTATGTTTTTCTACAACATTGGCAAGAACTGGTCCTCTCCCTTTGGTGCCACCATGTGCACATACAGTAGCCAGCCATGGCAATGTATAATTAACATTTATTAACATTCATCACTGAAAATTATACACCACTTGTCATCTGTCCATTTCTCCTGAGTATGACGCTACTCTAATTGCAGCAGTTTCTACTTTGATGGTATTGGCAGTCTTTACATTGGACACTGGACTTGCAGTGTTGGTTGAGCCCATGGCTGAGATATTGGCAATTTTATACAATTTTTTTTTTATCTCACTAGTCATCACTACTTGTATTTAGATGACAGGCACATAGTATGTCACAGATTATGTCATGTTTGGAGCACAATCTGGTGATTTTGCTCTGGCGTGAAATGTTTTGGATGACCAGAACCTTCACCATGTGTGTGGGTGCCCTCACTTTCACA